CTCAACCTCTCTGAGGCGATGTTTTCTGAGGTTTGGAAGCAATATATGCGAGATTCTATGCCTAGCATAGTGTAGGTGCTCAGAAAACACCTGTTAAATGGAATGGCACTGAATCTCGATTTGTTAACAAAGTCTTGGGGAGGGCTGGGGAAGAGAAGACTTAATTTTGGTTAGGTGGAAGTTGAGCTGGCATCAGAATCATTCAGGAAGCATGTACAATCCCGACTGCATGCCCCCCTTCAGAGAATGAGATTCAGGAGGAATCCGCCCGATAAGTCAGACATTGGTGGGCTAGGGATCGCTTTTTGAAAGTGATCACCCTGGAGCATTCGGATGGTCAGAGGAAATGTGTCTTGCAGCAAAGGTTGCAGAGGAAGGAGAGTGAGCCAGGCCTCAAAGGACAGCAGGGCCTCCACCACTGCCCTGGATTTTCTCTGCCAGCTAAAGGACAGGTGGGTCCTGGGCCATCTCTGCTCCTGTGATGGACCTTGAATAATTGATCAAGTCGCTCAGTGAGAAGCTCATGAATTCTTAAACCCTTTTAAGGGCCTCCCAGGAAGGGAGGGCATCCCCTCCAGGGTCTCTGTGGCCCTGTGCTCTCTCTATCTAGGTTCTGCATAAAGCGAAATGTCAGGGTCAGGGCCCCCTGCTGTGGCCTTCAGGTCGACAGCCTTTTAAGGAACGGACCGTTTCCCCTCACAGGATCCCACATTCTCTGCGCATATGGATTCTACACCAGTAATTGGCCTAAAGGCAGTCTGGAGACTGTCCCCAGGACCCAAGCCCTCTAAGCACCCTCTTCCTCTGTCCCCATGCCAAGCTGCCAGGACCCAGAGCATGCAGGTGACTTGAAACCTGGGATGCTCAAGGTCCCGACAGATTGCCTCTCCCAGCAAGTAAATAAAATTTTAAAATGGAGAAATGCTATGGAAAAAAATAAGGCATTTTTTATTTTATTTTAAAGACAGATTACTTAAGCTAGGGAAGGCCTCCTGGAGGAGGTGGCTTTTGAATTGAAACCTGAAACATCAAAAGAAAGATCTGGAGAAAGACAGCTGCAAGCAGAAGGAATAGCAAAGACGGTGTCCCTGCAGGGACTTGGTGTCTTCCTGGGACAGAAAAAAGCCCAGTGTGGTCAGGGCACAATGAATGAGGAGGTTAGTGGGGTATAAGGGAGATGGAAGACTGGATCTACTGACCCTTATGAGGGCTCTGGGGAAAAGGGCAAAAATACCCCTCCTTCTGGATAGACATAGACCCTCATCCATACACAAGATTCCACAAGAAGAGCATGGCTGAATTTTAACCTCCCCTTGCCTGTCTGCCAGGCAACCTTTTGCAGTGTCCAACATGCAGAACTGTACATGGAGGACCTGAGGAGTGCCATTATCTGTCTGTGATGGAGCCAGACAAAAGGGGGAAATCGTAGCTCAGTGCTGGCCAGGTTAAATCTGAGATGCCATTAGCCATCTAGGAGAAGCTGCTGAGTAGACAGATGGATGTGCCCATCTGGAGCTCAGGGCAGAGGTCTGGATGTCCTCACTGGATCACCACACGCTTGGATGAGGCAGTCGGTGGGGGGAAAAGCCACAGAGTGGTATTTGGGATGTGCAGATCTGCCTGTGAGGTGCTTACTAGTCTGTGGGAGAGGTCAACAAGGTGCTTAGAAATCAAAATTTAAGGAGACACTCCCTCCCAGGGTCACTTAAGTGCAGAGTTGGCACCTGAGAGTGGGTGACACCTTAAAATTTGTGTCTTCTTAACTCTAGTCCCTGTCCCTTGTAATTCAATGACAAAAAGGTAGTCATGACAACTAATGGTGCTGGCACACTCGGACACTCACTTGGGAAAGAAAAAAAAGAACCTCACACTTTCCTTCACACCGTATATAAAAACAAAAATAGGTCAGAGACCTAAACATAAAAGCTAGAAGTATGAGACTTAAGGGGGGAAAAACAGAGAAAACCTCATGACCTTGGGGTAGGTAGGCAAAGATTGCTTAGGCCACAGAAAGCATGAACCATAAAAGAGAAAAAAAATCAGTTGGATTTTATCAAACCTAAGAACTTGTCTTCCAAAAAAAAAACACCATTAAGAAAATGAAAAAATGCCAGAGGCCCAGAAAGATTGTATGTAGTATATATCTGACATAGGACTTGTTTCCAAAACATGTAAGGAACTCTTACAACTCAATAATAAAAGGACAATTGATCCAATTTTTTTCAATGGGTAAAAGACTGGAACAGATCCTTCACAAAAGAAAATACATAAATGTCCAAAAGTGAGCAAGTGAAAGTGATGTTCAAGGTCCATCGTCATCAGAAAAATGCAAATTGAAACCATAATGAAGCACTACTTTACACCCACCAGAACGGCTTTCAGTTAATAACAATGCCAAGTGTTGGTGAGAACACCAAGCAACTGGAATTCTCCTACACTGTAAAATGTACAAACACTTTGTGTTTTTTGTTGTTGTTGTTTTAAGATTTTATTTATTTATTTGAGAGAGAGAGAGCACATGAGAGGGGGGAGGGTCAGAGGGAGAAGCAGACTCCCTGCTGAGCAGGGAGCCTGATGTGGGACTCGATCCTGGGACTCCAGGATCATGACCTGAGCTGAAGGCAGTCACTTAACCAACTAAGCCACCCAGGCGCCCCAATGTACAAACACTTCGTAATACAGTTTGGCAGTCCATTACAAACACACAACTAAGCCATTCCAATTTGAAAATAGAAACAAGATCTCTATACAAAGGCTTGTAGCCAATGTTCAATGTTTTACTCATGGTGGCCAAAACCTTGGAAACAACTCAAGTGTTCATCAGCAGGAGAAAAGATACAAACAAGAGTGGTCCATCCATACACAGGAACAGTATTCAGCAATCAAAATGTAACTTCCTAAATATGCCACACCATGGATGATTCTCCAAGGCTGAATGAACAAAGCCAGACAAAGAAAAAATACAATTTGTATGATTCCACCTATATAGAAATCTAGAAAAGACAAATCTTGTCTGTGGTGATAGAAACCTGTTCAATGTTTGCCTGAGGCTGGAGGTGGGTGGTGGGGGTTGACTGTAAGGGAACAAGAGGGAACTTTTAGGGGTGAGTGGAATGGTCTATATCTTGATTATAGTTCTGATTACAGGGTGTATATATGTATCAAGACTCATCAACCTGGAGCTCTAAAATAGGTACATTTATATAAATTATGTATCAATAGAGTAATTTAAATACCTCCATTCAAGGTTTTGTTGATAACCTTTTAAATCCTCTGGTCCTCCTTGTTACTCTGAGCGTGGTAATGTCTCAATGTTTCTGCTCTTCAAGGACATTGTGGTTAAATAATCTGGTTCACGGCCAGGACATAATGGGCATTAAAAATGGGCTCAGGGGACGACACCTGGGTGACTCAGTCGGTTAAGTGTCTGCCTTTGATTCAGGTCATGATGTGGGGGTCCTGGGATGGAGCCCCATGTTGGGCTCCCTGCTCAGAGGGGAGTCTGCTTCTCCCTCTCCCCCTCCCTCTGTGATCTCTCTTGCTCTTGCTCTATCTCAAATAAACAAATAAAATCTTAAAAAAAATAGAATGGACTCAGGAATTACGGGTGCATGAGGGAACTGGGGCCCAGAGGGGAGACACTTGTCTCAGGACACACAGCCCAATACAGGTATTGACTACAAGGTGTTGCTGGGGGCGGGGGGGGGCGGTTTGGGTTTCAAAAAATAGAACCCAAAGAAGCAGAGGCAGACGTCCGTCTATCATCCGCTCACCTCCTGTCCTGTCTGTTTTCCTTCAGAACTGAGTTTTGAGAGAGGTCAGGGTGCCCCCCCCAACCCCGAGCGAGGCCAGGCCCGCCAGGCGGGTAATTGCACAAACCCTAGGTCTGCAGAGCGTCTTTCAGGTGAGACGCTTCCCAACCACCCCCCCCCGCCCCCCGCCCCATCCTAAGAGCACAGTCCTCACCAAGCAGCGAGGTCCACCTGCTGCAGGTCTCTGCACCTCCATCATTGTTCATCTCGCCTCCCAGGGTTCTGCGAAGAGCAATGACAATGGTTGTCTGCTCTCACTACTCTCATGGAGCCTAGAAGTTCTGCTCGGGAAAGTGAGGCGAGGCAAGGAAATAAAGAAGAAGCCGAGCTAGCATCCTTGTGCCCACTTCCAGGGCCAGAAGCACACTGAACTCGGGGCACAGGGCTGGCACGAAAGCTGGGTCACCCTGACCCTGATCCTCAAGCCCCGAGCAAGGCACGCCACCCCCGACGGGGCGCCAACATCGTTGTTCTTGAGGTCCAGGCCGGTTCCCGCTCCCACGAGCTGGGCGGCCTCCGGCCTCAGTTCCCCCACTTGGCCCCCACGCAGGAAAGGATCTGGAGTGCGCAGGGGTTCGGCCGGGCCCCGCCCCCGGGGTGGGGCTGGGGGCGGTCACGTGGGGGGGCTCCCGGGCCCCCGAGCCCCGCCCCGCCCCGCCCCGTCCCGCCCCCCGCCTCGGCCGGGTCTGGGTCTGGAGACGAGGCGCAGAGCCAGCCGAGGCCGCCAAGCCGGGGCCGCTGAGCTCGGCGGCGCCGCGGGGTCCGGGGTGCCTGCTCGCTGCTCCGCCCGCTCCCGGCCAGCTGTGCAGGCGGCTGAACCCGCCGCCGCAGCACCAGGAGCAGCAGCGAGGACTCGAGCGCGGGTGGCAGCGGCGACACCATGGATCTGTCCTTTATGGCCGCGCAGGTAACGGGGCGCCTTCCCCCGCGCGCCCTGGGCTGCGAAGTTTGGGGAGGTTCGGGGCCCACGGGCTTGCCCTGTCTGCAGCTGCTGGGCGCGCTGGGAGGCTTCGAGCCGGGCGGTGGCGCCCTCCGGGGATCTACGTCCCGGCCCTTTGTCCGGAGCCGGGCATCCCCAACCTGGTTTCTCTCGTCCGAGGCGGCGAGCGCGACTCCCGGGGGTGGGGCGGGTCGTGTGCCCTGAGCGCCCTGGGTCGATTTGTTCCCAGACTGAGAGGGGCCTGGGCGATGCGAGTCGACCCCTCCCTGCCCATCCCCTCCCTGCAGTCCTCGCTCCAGGACCCAGGACTGCCCCGGGGCCGTGCAGCCCAGATCCGTGGAAACCCGGGTGGGTGGGCACCGTCGCTGTTCTCCATTGCCTATCTTCACGAGGCGCGGGAGACCTCGGGCCCCCCCTCCCTTAAGTGGAGACCACAGCCCCCGGCAGCCTGAGGAAGGAGGTGAGACCGGCTCTGTGACCAGCCAAGCGCCAGAGCGCAACGATCCTTTTTTTTTTCCTTTGTGCTGAGTCTGTAGCCATCAGTGCCCAACGCGACCATAACTCTTCCCTTGACACAAAACAGGTTGCCAATAGCAGGAAAAAAAACAGATGACCTCTCATCACTTGATCCTTGCTGAAGGAGAATCCCCTTGAGTTCTGAGCGTTGGGTGATCTTTATGTTTCTGTGCTCAGCTCTCATGAGCTAGAACAAAGGCAGGCAGACACCCCCTTTGCGGAGCTGCCTGTGGCCTTCCCAGGACCCAGTGCCAGGGACAGTCTGGCTCCAGGAAAGGCCACATTTGGTCTGGGCGAGTAAATCTCAGTGTACCACATTCGGACCTTGCACCTTCTATGAGTTAGTTATGTTGGGATCCCAGACGTAGGAAGGCCACCGGGGTCCCTCTGTCCCCTGTATGCGTACCAGGGGCCCCACTTGCTGCTGTTTAATTTTCCGGGGAACAGATTTTAAGAGAACACTTTCCTTTCCCGCCCCCAAATTTCACCCCGATAGAAGCCTCTTGAAAAAGTAACAGCAAAATCCAGGCTGTATGGACAGCGAGTCTCTGAACAGTCATGGAAGGACGCAGAATCCCCAGGATGGTTTTAGATCCCAGCTCTAGGCAGCCTCTTGTTTTGTTTTCCAAAATGTGCTTTGCTTCAGTCAGCACCACTGGTCTTTTTTTGCCTAATTTTCTGTCTCCTGTTCCTAAACCCACGTTTATAAATATTGTCATGCGGGCATCATTTTAGACAGTGGTGACTTTAGCTACAGGATAACTGGAGTGGCTTCACCAGATTTATTTCCAGGGGAGAGAGGAGCTCACACACGCCTGTCTCTGCCTGCCCTCCTCTGAATCCCACCAAACAGCTTGTGTCCATGGTTACGAAATAAATTGATCACTGCTAACCCTGGGGCGGGCTGGAGCATCAGAAGTTGCCATGGTAACCGGACAAAATAAACGTAGGGCTTTTCTCCATCTGTAGACAGAGCCTGCACAGAGATTGGGTTCTTTTTTCTCTCTCTCTCTCTCTTTTGTTTACTCTCAAGTTTTGTGTGCTCAGTGTGTTCCTGCCAACAGATATTTGGGTATAGATTACATGCCCAGGCCCGTGTCAGTTGCAAGGAGCAGAAACATGATGAGCCATCATGTGGGGAGAGATGCTGAGGTTTGTGGAGCACCCGCTGTGTGCCAGTCGCTTGCACACTTTATTATAGTAAATCCTTACAAGTCCATGACATGGGCACTGTCATTCCCCCTTTTACCGATCAGGTTACGAAACTTCGACAAGATTAAATAATTTGCCTGCTTGGTGCGTGTCACCAAGCTTCTGTCCCCACACATCAGCAGTGGACAGTTTGATAGGGAAATGTCAATGCCTCCATCTACTTGTTTGGCAGAAGTTGGGTAAACTTGCCTTCAGCAAGTTTCTGTTAGATGATTGGTTGGGGATGAGACAGGATGGATGTGAATCGTGAAAAGAGAAAACAGGAAAACAGTGCCTTCGCGGGGTCGCGTGCCCCGCCCCTCGAACACCTGTCATCGTCAGGACTTGGGAACGTGAGTTCTGATAGAGTAGAACTACAGACAGATCTCCCCCGGTGGATTCTAGGCAGAGAGGCAGGAGGAGGGAGGCCCAGAATATATTCACAGACTCCTTCAGGAAGGGGGAAAGTAGGGGCACAGGACAGCTGGGAGAGGGGGCTGGCGCCAGGTCACAGAGGGGCTGACTGTGGGGTGGGGAAGTTCACATGAATCAGTGGGCAGTGGGAGCCATTGCAGGCCACTGAGCAGGGAAAGGTTTGTGATTGAAGCAGTGCTTTGGGAAGACCCCAGCCCTGTGGAGCATAGTTAGAGGCATATGAGTGGAGCCAGAAGGGCACACCTGCTTGATTAATTGAGCGACTGAAACCAGCTCCCTGTGGCTCGAAAAGCTCCTCCCCCTCCTCAGTGTTGTGAACTGTGAGTCCTGTTTCTGGCTTTAAAAGACTCAGAGGATATAAGCCATTTCAGAAAGATTTGCCTCTCAAACGCTAAGCATTACGAAGACACCCCTTATGGATGGAAAGAGTGGACCCGCAACTCCCCTGATGCAGATCTGCCCTCGCTGGTGCAGGTACATGGGGTTGTGTGATGGGGTTTGGAAGAGGCTGTGGACACTGAAGATGGGAAGACTCAGCTCGTGGACCCCATCTCACCCCCTGAGCCCCGGAGGTGCTCAGCCGCCCTTTCCTCCCCCCTGGACACACCCCAACCCCTCTCTGCGCAGTTCCTGGGTCCCCAGACACCCTGGTGGGCTGAACGGTAAACAGGAGCACCTGTTTCTCTATGGCCAGCAGTGGCCGGAAGGACAGGGCCGTCCAGACGCCCAGGGAGCTGGGGACCAGGAGAACAGCACAGACGTTGAGGACTGAGCCCTGAATCCCTGTGTCATTGGTGGGGTGGCCCTTACTCCAGAGATGGCCCTGTTCCCTCCCTCCCCCTCCTGGGGGCGGGGGGGGGGATCTGATTCCCCTCCCCTTAAATCTGGGTTGGCACCAGTGAATTTCTTGACCAGGAGAAGGCAGTGTGAGTGGCATTCTGGAACCTCAGAGACTAGCTTTGAAGAGGACTGTGGTGTGCATGGATGGCTCCTAGCGTGCTTGCTCCAGGGGAAGCGCAGAGACCCTGAGACCTCCGTGATGAGAGGAGGAGTGAACATTTAAGGAACCTACTGCGTGGGCAGAAATGAACGAGAGGCGGGGCACCTGGGTGGCTCAGTTGGTTAAGCGGCTGCCTTCGGCTCAGGTCATGATCCCAGGGTCCTGGGATCGAGCCTCGCATCGGGCTCCCTGCTCCTCGGGAAGCCTGCTTCTCCCTCTCCCACTCCCCCCGCTTGTGTTCCCTCTCTCGCTGTGTCTCTCTCTCTGTGAAATAAATAAATAAAATCTTTAAAAAAAAAAACAAAAAAGAAATGAACAAGAGGGTGTAGGGGCACTAGTCACGTGCTTGAGGCTGTAAGGCCGAGTTCAACAAGCGCACAGACGGCACAAGAGCTCAGTCTTGTATTTGTCCTCTGCTGCCCCTGCAGCAACTAGTCTAAACCCAAGAGTTCCCGATGTTGCTGCCATTAGGCTCCCCTGGGAGCTTCCAAGACCTGCTGCCTCCACCCCACCCCGAGTGCTCCCCTTAGAGTCTCAGCTGAAGGCGGACATTTTCGTTATTTTCTGTCATCCCCCAGTGGATTCCAGCGTGTGGTCGCGGCGGGGCTGGAGGTTCGAAGCTAGAACTGCACTTGGGGCTGTCTCCCTCCCCCTCCTCTGGATGGAACAGATCCTTGGCTCTCTGGTCCCTTTCAGGTCGTAAAAGGTCATGTGGTCCCCAGAAGTCACCCGAGTATGGGTTCAGCAACTTAAAAGAGCGAGACCCAGAATAATATAACCCGGGGACTTGCTCCAGAATCGAGGTTCTCCCTTCCTCCTGCCCACACCTGCCACAGGTGGGAGATCTGTAGTCAGGTAGGTGGCTCTGCTAATCCCCTCATGCAGACAGGGAAGAAAGGGAGAGCCAGGGTGGCTCAGCCGACAAGTAGAGCCAGGCCTGGAGCCCCAACCACAGGGCCGTCCTGCACGTGGGCTCACCACCTCGCAGAGCAGATCCAGTGCGGGGGTGTGTGGGAAACCTAGGGCCCCGCCATGGAGCAGCTCCAGGGAATCCTCAGTCCCTGAATACAGAGTGTTGTGATTATGTCCATTTTTGAAAAGATTTTGTTTGTTTATTTGAGAGAGAGAGAGAGAGAGAGAGAGAGAGAGCGTGCAAGCATGAGCAGGGGGAGGGGCAGAGGGAGAGGGAGAAGCAGAGTCCCCGCTGAGCAGGGAGCCCGATGCGGGGCTCCATCCCAGGACCCTGAGATCACGACCTGAGCTGAAGGCAGATGCTTAACTGACCGAGCCACCCAGGCGCCCCATGTTTATGTCCATTTTTTAAACATGTTCCTAAAGAGGACTGTATTAGTTTCCTGGGGCTACCCTAACAAATTAGCACAAGCAGAGTGGCTTACAACAGAAATGTAATCTCTCCCAGTTCTGGAGGCTAGAAATCCAAACTCCAGGTGTTGGCAGGGCAGGTGTCTCTGAAGTCCCCAGGGGAGAATCTATTCCAGCCCTCTCTCTTAACCTCACGGTGTTGCCTGCAGTCCTTGGTGCCCCTTGCCTGTGGATGCATCTCTCCGATCTCTGCCTCAGCAAACCTGGCACCCGCCCTGTGTGTCTCTGTGTCTCTTCTCTTCTTATAAAGACACCGGTATATTGGATTAGGGCCCACTCTAGTGACCTCATTTTAACTTGATTATGCCTGCAGAGAATCTAGTTTGAAAGGAGGTCATGCTCACAAGTATCAGGAGTTAGGGCTTCAAAAGCGTATTTTGAGGGGAGACACAGTTTAACCCGTAATAACATCTGAAGACCCGTAAATAACCAGGATCTTGATCCTGGTGTTAGTGGTCACTGGTCTTAGGCAGTGGACGGATCATTTCTCTACACTTTAGTTTCACCATCTGTGAAATGGACACAAAATCGCCTTTCCTGTGGAACTGTTCATCTAGTCCTTCAGCAGATGTTTCCTGTGGGCCAGACCCAGAGCTCTGAGGTGGAGAAGGCCACAGGCCTGCCATGTGATATGTGACATGGGGTAGGTAAATGCAAGTGTCCCAGGAGCCCAGACAAGGCACCTGACCCGGAGGTCAGGGAAGGCTTCTAGAAGTTTGAATTGAGCTGTCTGAAGGATGCTGAGCTGCAAAGAAGGAGGGAGGACATTCCAGGCAGACGGAATGGCATGCTCAAGGGTTGAATGTAATAGGACTTGAAACAGTGTCTCCTGTTGGGCGTGGGGGTTGCAAGTCAGGGCATTTGGATGGACCGGGGACAGGTGGGGAAGGAGTTGGAGACTGGGGCCAAGAAGGTGACCTTGTTCAGTGGAGCGG